CCCCCCCACACACACACACGTATGTAATGAGCTCTTCAGAATCAACAAGAAAAAGTCAACTTGTTCCTTTTCATTTAAAAAAAAAAAAGTGTCAGAACAGACTGCAGGTAACTACAGAAGACATATAGAAGATATAAATTGCCAACTATATGTATAGAATTAGCAATCTACACTGATCCAACCTTTCTCAGGCCTGTCTTATATGGTTGACTGAGTTCTTCTCTGTTTAAGATCTGTGGGTCTAATGAGACCCTTATCTAGTTTGCCCTGGATTCACCAAACTATATGTTACGTGCTTGTCAAGCTGTTTGCCCAGGGAGCTGTGCCTGCTTACAGGGGACACTGTTTTCTAATTCAAATGTGCTGTATGGGCTAGTGAGGCTTTGGCCTTTCCGCATCTAAAGCCCTAGAAATATGTGTAACATTATACATATGTATATAACATTATACATATTTCTAGGGGTCCTAAGGAAAAAATAAGGACGTGTATACTATTTTATTTGAAGTAATTTGTAATAGCAAAATATCGCATAATTTTTGGTAGGTGTCCAAAGGTAGAAACTAAGGTCAAATAAATTATGCTAGAGTCATAAAGTGGAATAATACACTGCCGTGGAAAGTGTCTAAGAGAGCGTTTAGTGGCATTGAAGAATATTCTTGATCTGCTTTTAAATAACAAATGTTTAGAATAATATATAGTATAATCTAAAATATGTAAATATAAATACACACAAACACACAGAAACACCTGGAAGGATATATATTAAAATGTTTGGTTATTTCTGGGTAGTAGGATTATAAGAGATTTTTACTTTCTTCTTTCTTTTAATCACTAAACATAACGAACATGTGTCACTTTTGTAAAAGGAAAAAAAAAGATATAATAAAAATAGTGCAATCTCACATGACTCTTCTTCCATGAAGGCTTTGCTCAGTTCCTTGTCTCTTACCCCTTCGAAGCCTGGGATTGCTTCGATTGAATGACCCTCTTAAAATATGTTTCTGCCTTATCTGTAGATATCAATGAGCAATCACCTATCGTCCTGGCATTGTTCCTGAGGTCCAGAGCTCACTGTTACCTCTTTCTTAGTGTCTGTAATGTAGGTGCCTGATAAACACTTGCTGAGTTGCATATACTGCAGATTTCGACAAGAATATAATAAGAGGCATCTATAAAGAAGTAGGTAAGAGGAGGTGAAAGCTATTTTCTGGTACAGTGAGGAGGTCTATTGAGCTTCAGGCAATATGTACATACCCCAGGTTCTGGCAGCAGGTACCGGTGTGGCAAAAGCACCTTGAGAGGTGATGTCTAATCCAAGGTGGGCCTGAGCAGATTCTCCTCGTGGGGTCTGCCCCGGCCAAGTCCGATGCGCTGTCGGGAAGGCTGAGGTTTGCCTGTGATACACGGCTCGTTGAAGGGAGCCGACCTCAGTGGAATCAGCTTCTCAGAGGAAAGTCTTACCGTAAGAATAGTTTCAAACTTGGAATGGCCCCGTTTCGGAAAAATAAGAAGTCAACATTCGTGTGGTCCTCTCCTAGTTTTCACTGTACAAAATGCGTTTCACTCAACAAGAGCGTAGAATTATGTGATTTATTAAATGATCCCCTCCTTCTAGGAGCATAAGTGATGATTTCTGTGGTTAGTAGTGATGAGCAATTAGCTGAAGAAAGGTGACTTCTGTTCCAGGCTTTCTTCCACACACGCCAGGTTTTGGGTCCAAGTCTAGGTCTGTGAAGTTTAAAGAAACCCATCTAGAGCCATGTCTTTTGAACTCTAATTGAGCAAATTTCACAAGAGCTACTACAAGGCTGATTGGCTCAGTAGCATTTTCTCTTTTTCTAGATTAAAAAAAGAAAAATGAAGCCAGACTGAGTTTGATAAAAAGTTTTGGAAAATAGAAAGAGATATTATTCATGAGTTCTTCCAGTGTAGATCACCATGCAGTTTTGTGGCAAGCATCTCAGATATCGTTCCATCTTGGCACTCAGACTAGATACTGCTTCCACGGTTTTTAAAGTAGTAAAATAAGTATAGGAAGATGAAAAAAAAAGTACATTGATCACATAAAATGTTGTCCTGATCAGATGAGGAGAACCCCCTTCTCCTAGCATCCCAAGGAAAGCTAAAGGTTTTAAAGGAAGAGGAAGGGTCTGGGGAATCCCTTAAACCATGAGATAATATGAAGGTGAGTTAGACTTCTGCTAAAGGTACAGATTTCCCAGGACAGTGTTGTGTAACCTCTCTGTGATGTTTCCAAACAAAGTTTATTGACAGGCCAGAGATTATATTCTGTACTGAGACCAAGACACAGTTCCTGCCTTCCTGTCTAGTAGGGAAGGTGTACAAACTAACATGGCAATTTGTAAACTGATGTTATTAAGTGCTGTGATAACAGTTATTATGAAGGGCTCTTGGAAACAACCAAGAGTCAGTTGCTGGGACTTAGAGGGAACCTTTGAGGAAGTGATGTCTGTTTTGAGACTTGAAGGGCGAGTGCGAACAAGAGGTGTGAGGACATTCTGGGGAAGGGTTGGAAAGGGACAGTTTCCTGTAAAAGTTTTACAGAAGCCTAGAGGCAAGAGGCTGTGGCCTGTTCTCTTATTTTATGAAAGTTTGGGGAAGGGAGGTAGAGATAGGGGGACGGTAGAAATAAGGCTGGAGATGTAGACTGAGGCCAGATTGTAAAGTGCCTTGTAAAGCAGTTTTAGAGTCTGGAACTAGTCCTAATGGCAGTAGGAGAGATGGAATGTGAAGGAAAGCTGGCAAAGTAGCCTATGTGGGAAGACCTGAAGATTGTCTGAGATGAGCAAGATACGAAGCCTACATTAAACAACTCAGGAAGAAGCCAGAGAGACTGGAAAAGAAATGTGAGGCTCAGCTAATCCTTCAGTGTGCCTGATGAAGGTTTTGTCCCCCAAAATGTTTCTCAGCTCAGGCAATCTATGAGGTGTAGTTTTTGTGACACTTGTCAAAAACTATATCAAATGGAGCCAAACAACAGTTGGAAAATTTTTACAAATATGTGAAGAATTCAATCACAGGCGCGCGCACACACACGCACACACACACTTTAAGGTGCAGAGGAAGGTAGGTAAAGGTGTAAGGGAGGGTGATTGTTTCTTCCATTGCAGTGCCGCCTGATCCAGCAAGGATGAGTTATCTAATTGCTACCATGTGCAACTCAAACAGGGACTTTCAATTTAAGTGCTTTCATGTGTTCCTCCTATGCCCTTTTCCATGGCCATAGCGTGTCCAAGATCAGGACATACCTGACAATTTTCTCTTTGATTCATGAGGCACGATGGAACCTAGCCTGTGCCGTAGCCAATCTAAATGCCAGTGTGACCGAAAAGAAATTGTGAAAGACACGAAAGCACTTCAAAGTAACCCATCCAAACTTAGGAGCAGCAGAGGAGCATGGCTACGATGTTTATTCCAACATTCAAGAAAAGATGCTTTGGAATTTCAACTGAAAGTGACCATTGGGAAGTGTAATGTACTTTTCTTTACCATACTTTTTAGGAAGCAGGAACAGAAAAGAGCGTTTTCCCCCTGCCTGAACCGCAAGATTTCTTTCTGGCTTCCCAAGTCAAGTTTGAAGACCTCATCAAAGACTTGAGAAAACTGAAGAGGCAACTGGAAGGTAACGGGAACTGTTCTGTTGTTATGATAATAGTTAAGATTTTTTAAAAGTGATTTAAAAGGATTATTTGTGTGTGGCTCGTGGGATGGACTGGTGCAGAGTTCAGCCATGGTATTCTGCAGCCCTCACGAAACATTCCATCTCTGGGTACCTTTTGGAGGCACTGGATTTACATACACCTCTTTTACTACTGTTAATTGGTACTTGCTATATCTACATCTTATTTTATCTACATTTTCCAACATATAATAGATATAATTTTTATCATAATAATAGCACCAACCCTTTCTTGAATGCTTACTATTGTCTCATGTAATTCTTATAACCATCCTAATAAGCGGGAACTAGATGAACTCTCTTTTACAGATAAGAAAAATGAAGCTTGGAGAAGTTACGTTCACACAGCCAGTGCGAAACATTTACTGAGCTCTGATCGGGTCTATCTGATTGAAACTCATGCATTTTCTAAACAGCTTTACTATGCTGCCTTTCTCTTCTCCTACCCCCGCTCGACACACCCCCCCCATACCCACACACCTACACACACACACGTGCGCACGCACGCGTGTTCCTATATATCTGGTTTATATATATGAGTCTAATAATGATGGCAAGCCCCATAGTATTCTATTTTAGTTTAATTTACATTTTTAATTATCCAAAACAAAATGCTGAAAGCCCCTTTGGGTTTCTTTCAAAGGTGAAAATATGCCTCTCTTGGGCAGGAATTTTCCTTTGGCATTTCTAGAATCCTGTGTTTTCACTGTGGAGACATGTCCTTGTCCAAGAATATAAATACTTGCGTTGGAGCCTGTGTAACTCCAATTGAAGAGCTCTGCAGAGGATTTAGGGAGCGTGTTAATGTGGAAATGGGGCCCAGAGCGCCAAAAGGAGAGCTTGAGGAAATGAAGAGCTTAAACCAGGAATATTTTTACACTAAGACATAAAATAAACATTCAAAAAATGTTTATTGTGAAAGAGTGCTCAGAAACCCAAGTCTTAGACAGAGGACAGCTTGGAGCTGGAAGGGAAGTGGGAAAGATCTGCTCCTAGTGGCAGGGAAAGCCATTTGTTTTCACTTTGGGCATAAAACTTGCTTAAATAAGGATAGTGGTTACAAGTGAGTATTTTTACCTTGTAAATTATTTTTAAAGGAACGTGTGGATTTTTCCCCCTCCTGTTGAAGTGGTTGAAAACGTGCATTCAACCCAGTGAATGCTTTGCTCAGGAATGTGATATGTGGACTTGTGGCTGCCCTTTTCCCCTTCCTAAAAAAAACACACAAAAACACAAAAGACAGCTTTACCCTTGTCGAACATGCGGAGCTCGATTCTTATTGGAATAAAGAAAGCGGAGAGAGCCATCGGGCAGCAGCCTTCTCCGTCCCTCCAGCGGCGGAATCGGGGCCGAGGCTGCAGGTGAGCAGCGGCAGCCAGGCCTGTGCTTGCTCGCTCCGTGGCCGTCCCCAAATGCCCGTCCCCTCATCCCATGGCCCCTTTAGCACCCTGGGCCTTTGAACAGAAACCTGGACTGAGTGTGATCGTTGGGCTTCTCAGGTCTTCCTTCCCGGGCCTGCCCCTTTCAGGTGTCCTGGCTCGGCCGCCTCCCCTTGACGCTCTGTGTGTTTGATGACAAATAACAAAGGGGTGAGAAGAGTGAATGAAGAACACCACGGACAGGCAGGGTTCCCCCAAAGCTCCCCACTTTGGGGTGTCTGATTTTTCTCTGGGGAAATCCCAGCTGTCATTCCAGATCCCTCAGTACTCCACTGACACTTTTCTCAGTCAATTTTAAAGAAATACCGAACTTCTGAAGCCAGGGGAGCTGCCTTCTGCAGGCAGGCGGAGCACGGCCTGTTAGTTTTCTGCTTTGCATCGGGCCCCACCAAGGGACCTGAAGCACCAAAAAGGCGACTAAGGGGACTGGGA